CTTCAGCAAGCCACTGGCCCAGATGAAAAACTGCAAGCCAAGCAATAGAAGGCAAGTTCTTTTGGCACAGTGTTGTACAGTTATCCAAACTCTGAAGAACCAAATGGAAATGTAATATTAAAGCTAATCCCTATCGACATGCTGAGAGAATGAAATTCTAGTGATTAGACTCATTCTTCCTTAAGAAATGGGAGGATAATTCTGGCTCTCTTGCAGTTCAACTGGAACTGAAAAGTAAACAGATAAGAGGCAGGTGGCAAAAATCTCATGTGGGATACTTGCCACCATAATATCTGGGTTCTTGTAAAATACTGGGCATAAAAGTTGAAAGAAAATAAAGATTGGTGCTGTTTATTTGGAAGGAACACTGGATAAAACCAAGCATTGAAAATAAAGGGTTATAAAGAAGGATAAATAGAATACAAATTACCTTTCTCTTATTTCACAGAAAAAAGATTGAAGTGAGACAAGTATTCCCATGTACACTTACCATTGTGGTTTCTTTTCACCTCAAGGATAAATTATTGGCGGTTTGCTGTGCTTGGACTATATTTTAACATAGAAATCTAAGCCACTGCAAAAAGTAGCTCCCAGTAGTGCCTCTTTTTGGGAGAATATGAAATCTGTGCTTCAGGTTATTGGGTGCCAGCCGCTTTTTTTCTTTTTCCTTGTTTTTTTTTCTTTTTCTTCCCCCCCGCCCTTTTTTTTTTTTCATTTTGGAGGATTTCAAGGGGTTAAGTTTTTTTTACATATGTAATGTAAGTGGCTTGGAATAAGCTACTCAAAGACTGCCTACTACCCTATGCCTTTCTGCTAACTTGAGTGTGTTTTCTTCTTCTGTAAATGTGTCAGAGATGCTCAGCAGCAGATGAGTCTTATTTGTCATAAGCTGAAAGTAGTCACACTAGACAGGATAGATGAAGATAGAAGAAGATGATGAGCACTCTGCTGCTACAATGTGTTTTATGCTAAGTGTTTGGAAATAAGAAACTCTTGTCCCTGCTAAATAAGTGGGCTGTTCCTGAATGGTTCCTGGTATGGTTTCAGTAAATTTTTGCAGCCTGTTTGAGACTGTCAGAATTCATAAATTGAATTATGGAGGCTATAGGTCTGATTATTTCTGAAGTTTCCACTGAAATTTTGTCTTGGTTTAAAAAATGTCCTTTTTTTTTTTCTAGGAAAAGTGCTAAGCCATTGAGACATGCTTAGATATGGTTTCATCTTGAAAGTCCATATGCTACAAACTGGAGATGTGAGATATTTGCTTTTCCTCTGAGCAGCAGTCATCTAAATGTATGGATCATCACAGACATACATCTAAAAGTTAGGCAATATGAGCATAATATGCCTTCTTGGTTGTCACTTTATGTAGAATGTTTAATGGAAATTGCTCTGGAGGAGTCTGGTGTGGTCTCTGACATTTTGACACTGAAGTTTAGGTTTTTGGAGATACCAGAAATTTCTTGGAAGAGGCCATTGCAGAGAGGTCAGTAATCTTCAGGTGGTTCCACAGATAGGGCCTCTATTTGCTTTTAAGTGGTTGGATAAGTCTAAAAAGAAAGAGATAATCTTACATAAAAACATTGATTTGCCATTGGACCATTGAGTGTTTCTAGAGTTTTGCAGGTTCTGTCCAACTTCTCTGTATGCAAGTTATTAGAGGAGGCAAGTGTGAATTGAAGGATAAATCACTGCAGTGAGGTTTGGAAGACTTGTGTTTTGTTCCTGACCATGTCATTATGGTGGACAAACCTGGATGAGACCCTCAATCTCTCTACCTTGTGTTCTTACTGAAAAATATAAGGTACCTCAACCTACTTTTCTTTGTTAAAGTAGTAGCAAGAGGGACTATAGAAATTGGCTATTGTTGCGATTCTTTCCTTTGACTGGATTACACTGCCAGGAAGCTGTCCAGACTCGGCTCAGAATATTTTTGCCTAAATTGGCAACTTAGAGGCATACACTTTTTTTTTTTTAACTGTTATCCATTATATCTGAAATGAATCATGGTTGTATTAATGTTAGCTTGAATCCTTCAAAGGCTATTGTTGCTTCTCAATTAAGTCAGAGAATTTTCAATGAGGTTTTTTGTGGGTTTTTTTCCATTTGGTTTTCTTCTCCGTTTGGGTGCTCCTAGTCACAGTATCCTCCCTGGTATTTTTAGGCTACTGTTCAGCGCATCCTTTCTCTGAGAATAGTTTAGACAGTTTTAAGTCTGCTAGCACAAGTCAAAGACAAGACCTTCCAAAAATCATATTGTATAATTGTTTCTGCTCTAGGCATCCTGTTTGTCCTAGTCACGTGAACACCATGGACATTTTAGAACTGGGAGAAGGGTATGGTTACCCATTTACTGCCCTGTTAGAGCCAGCAAACTATGGTTCTGTAGTGAAACAAGATTCCTTGATTTACTGAATGTTGAAAAATGGAGATGAACAGAAAGAGAAGGTAGGGTGGCAAGGAAGGTACAAGCAGTGACTGTGTAATGACACTTCCCCAAATATTTTTCTAGTCTTCAGCAACTTGCAGTTTGGGATGTCTTGAGCCAGAAGTGATGTCTTTTATCAGTAATTCTCCCCAACACCCCACCCACCCAACAACAGGTAGATTATAATGAAATTTTAACGAGGCAAAGTTGGGAGGAAGATCAGAATGCTATACAGAAATGCTTGAAATATTTAGGGGCTATACTGTTAGAAACAGGATGAAAATCAATATTTTAAGAGAGCAGCTTCATGTACTTCAGGAGTAATTAAAAACTGATTCTGTAAGTTAGGAGTTTGTTTCTCTCCTTAGTGGTTTCCAGGTATTACCAGTTGAATGCCAGTTGTCTCTTAGCCTTCCTTATGCTATAGATATGTAAAGGGCAAGTGGCTATTTTAAAGAGAAATTATCAGTAAAAATAGGAATGTATTAAATACAATTTTACAAGAGAGTGGCTGAGATCTTACTTGTAAAACTTCATGGTTCTGCTACTCTCAGGAGAAAGAAGTTTTCTCTTTGCAGAGCAGGGCAGTCAGAGTGCCTGGAAGAAGTGTGAGATCAGTTTGCAAAGGAAGAGGAGAAGAGCTAGGCTGCTTTAGAGGATCGGAACAATAGCTGAGAGGTACAAAACTTGATTGGGGGTGGTGTGTATGTATATGTGTGTGTCCATACTGGTGTATGTATATATATGTTTGTGTGTCCATATATATGTGTATATAGGAAGAGAAAGACAAAGGCACACAAGTGTTTAAACTAGATGCCAGTAGTGCCAGAAGAGCAAAAGAATACAAAATGACTTTGAGTAAGATTTAGAGTGCAAGGTTTCTACTTACTGGAGCAGTATGGCTTTATAGTAACCTTTAACAGGATTAGCGGGGGCAAGTAATCCAAATAGTTTAGATAGATCTTGATCACTTTATGATGAGAAATATATGATGCATTGCCTTTGGTAGTGAGCTTAATAGATTTGATAGTTTAAAAGGTCCCTCATTCTCTCTGAGTTCACTGGGGTGGATTTGGGCTTTAGGTATCAGTGTGGGTGTTTTTCCCTTCTCATGGTCCTCCTGTGGAAGGGGACTGATGGATGGCAATAATCCTAGTCCCTTAGAGGCTTCTGCTTTGGTAGTATGTTCTAGATTGAGGAAATCTTCTGGTGATGAAGTTTTCAAGAATGAAAACATTTGTTTTGCCATTGAAAGTTATCAGGCTATCGTGACAAAGCATATCTTGTCCATATCATATTATTGTCAGTTTATTTCTAGCTTAAAAATTCTTTTTTTTTTTTAATTGACACTTGCAGATGTTGGTAAATTGTTCATGTCCTTTTGTACAGCCATAGTAGTTAGTAATGATCCACAGGTACTTCTGACATAAAATTCAGTGCTGTCACTAACGGCTTCTGTGTCTGAATGTGGGGATAGGTCTTTTAAACTGACACTGATGCTTTTTTTTTTCTTTTAAAGAGAAGATTATTACTGGAGAATAGTGATGCTAGATGAAGTTTAATATCTCTAAGGACTGTTAGATGAACTGTCTGTAGGCAGCTTCTGATAGAAAGTGGAATAACTTGGTTTTGAGCAGATTATTTGTTTCAGTATGAGTTCAGAGATACCCAGGTTGGCTCTCTGTGACCTGTTTAGGTCTAGCAGGATTACTAACTTAGTAAGTGGGGGTTGTTTTCTGATAAACTGTTTTGCTTTAGCAGAGAAACTTTTACTGTTCTTTCCACCATCCTTTTGGCTTGAGTAAGACGTCTTTCTCAAGGTGGAGACGAACAGAGGCAAACGTTGGTCAATAACAGAGCTCTGTGGAGGTAATGAATTTGGAGAATGTTATGTGTATAAATAATTTTTCACTGAATTGGAACTGAACCATAACTCGGTAATGGTTCATGTTGAGCAGGGAATGGGGTATTGCTTTTCTGAACACAGTATCTTTGCTGCTAATAAGAGGGGTTGCCAAAATAAAACCTAAGGAAATGACAACTCAAATGGCAAACAAAGCATTTGTTAAGCAGTAATTTTTTTGAACTAGTGATACTGAAGACTTTACTACTTGACTTCAGCCAACTAAAAAAATGGCTTTTGATTTGCATAGCAATTCGTGACAGCAAAGAAATGGAGCAGTTTAGGAGCACAGGTTTTATGAAAGGGAATAACGGGGAGCTGAAATGACAGGCTCACCCTCATGTATCTGAGGAAGTCAGGGCTTCCACATTTACTTTGAGATGTCAGAAAACTTCAAATTGATGGGTTTTGAAATTGTGGTATGTGAACAGCTTTTTAAGCAAAGCTAGGTTTTGGTGGGTTTGTTGTTTGTTTGTTTTTTTTTTTTAAAAAAAACAAACCCAAACCAGCAAAGTGAGAGAGCAGGTGATTATTGCTTCCCCAGCTGACAATATGTTTATTGTTTGTCAGTGTTTTAAAATGGTTGTTCTTCTGTTTCCACTCATCTCAGTTGAGGTTTCCCCCATCAACTGAAGGATGGTGACTGCTGCCTGTGTGTTGGGCTTGGATGCAGTTGAGAGTGGCAACTCCTAAGGAGATAAAACTGGGATCGATGGTCAAAGGAAGAGTTTGGCCTCACACCATGAGGTAAACTGCTGAGGTGGAACGTGCCACCTCCTGTTCATGTGTATGATCTGGCGCAGAGCTGAGTGCTGTTGATGGGGTGGGTGCTGTACCAGTGGCTGTACCTGAGCAAAGTATGTAAATCCATGCTTTGGTTTTTAGTAGAACTTGCTGATCAGTGTAGACCCACCTGTCACAGGTTACCAAAAGAAAAATAGGTACCAACCTCCAGTTCTCAGGTCTGGTGAATAAAAATTGCAGTCTGGAGTCTGGTCAGTGAGTGAGATGATAGTTGAATTCTTCTGCCTTGAAAGACGTGAAAATAGGAGGCCTGGCACCTTGAAGCATTGCACTGAGAAATCCAAAAAGGAACAACTTGGACATCTCTGTTATTTTCAAGGAATTTATAGCCTTTTTCATAGTCCTTTAAAAGCCATCTACCATTATAAGTGTGTTGATTTTAAAAATAAATAGGCAGTAGGATGGTTGAATCTTTAGTCTTCTGGAATAAAGATATATCTTCAGTGGTTTGGCCTTTAGAAACTTCATTGACTAACTAATGTACAGATTTAATAGCAAAATAATACTGCCCTTCAGGTCAGTGATTTGGTCCACAGCTGGTTTATTTAAGTTAATTCCCAGAGTAATGACTGAATTATGGTTGTGTGGGATCTGCTCATGGATAGTGAGTTGTTGGGGGCTTTTTGGTAGTATACCAGATAACTATCTTTAACAAAACTACCAATTTTATGCTATATATTTTTGTGACAGAGTTGTAGCATACAGTATTGTCAGAGAACTTGGTACTACTTTTGAAAGGCTATATATATTGCTGGTGCACGATGTAGTTGTAATTTCATGTTAGATAGTTTCAGATATGTTGCATAATTTTCCAAGTTAATTTGAAAATGTAGTTAGCTTTTTGCTTTCATAAAATGGTATCTAGTGAAGAAAAACAAAACAAAACATGAACACAGAGGTTTTAATGCATCAAAATTAAAATACACCCTGGTTATTTTCCAGTGTTTCCAGGCTGATGAGATGGTTTTTGAAATTCAGTTTTGACATTTGAAGGGATCTTACTGAAGGTGTTCTGTACATAGTTATGAGAGACTGTTTGTATCTCGTGGTGTTTGAGAGAATATTTAATTTTAGAAAGAAATGTTTAAGCTTTGTTGTGGAAACACTGTAGTCTCTTTGCTTGAGGTTAGTTCTAGATCTTCCAGAATTTTGTTTTCCTTTAGTAGTGTTAGTGTTGAATAGCTGACCATCTTATGCGGTGTATTTGTATCCTGTGAGCCACTTGAATGACATTATAGAACTGGACTGCAATTTCCCAATCTGACTTCACTCACATACCAAACCTATTGCAGGCATAATTGATGGTGTGACTATAGTCTGCTGGTTTGGGAAACTAATGTGAGTTAAATGCAACTTTTGGATGAGACTGCACCTCCATGGCAAACAAAACATCCTCACATATGTGCCCCACACCCTCACTTGTACTACTTGCATTCATCAGTGTATGCTTGCTGTGCTGTTTCTGCTTGATAAGTCAGCAGCAGATACTTTACTGTTTTTTGTTAGGTTATTTTTTTGCTGAGTTGTAAGACTTTTTTTGCTGAGTCTTTTAGCATGCTAAATGCCAGAGCTGGCTTAAGGGATTGGGTCTTCCCATACAGTCTGGGAAGAGATGGGGCCCTTGCAACCAGCCATTATTAATTTTAGGCTGCCAAGAACTGCAGCTTAAGTTGCTTTAACCTGGATTTTTTTTCTGCTCTGAGGATGTAACTGTTCTCCTGGTTGAGACTATTAGCCTGCTATTGTCTCCAGCAGTGCTGAAGATATTAGCGGAGAGAAATACTTGAGTTTCAACTTGATTTTCTTTTCACCTCAGTGACTTTTTGGCACCATCAGCAGGTAGACTGGTGCCTGCAAGTACATCCAGAAGCTGTGCATGAAAAAGCAATCACATAAGACAAACTTCCTTTCATGTATCTGCTGTTAGCAGTATTGCCAATGGTTTGCCCTACATCCAGTTCCCCAGTCGTCAGAATAAAGCTTACAGGCTGGAATATAAGGCTAAACAAGGTAATGTGTTTGGGTTTTTTTTCCCCCCTACTGAGTTCATCTCGGTGCACCATGGTGCTTTTAAGCACGTAGTTACAAACATTGCAGTGTACAGCAAACCTGTGCATCATGGTTTTAAGATGGTGAAGTTTGCCAGGAGCCTGCAGTATGTAGCAGAGGAATGTACAGGCTGTCACAGAAAGTCTTGAGCCCCTTTTGGGTGGCTGAAGATTACACTTACAAGTTTTTTCCAAAATAAACCCGATTGATCCCTACCAGAAGACTATCTGGTGTTCAGCCCAGATGTTCAGTGGATCCAACAGCTCAGACCCCAAATTCAGAAGTATATGTAAGCTGGCACCAGCTGGGGGGAAGAGTTGTGGTCTTGGTAGGATTTCCTTTTACAGAAGCTGTGCATACTCTTTCCAATAGACTGTGGTTGTCTGTGTGCACAGTGATCTGATCTGCTATTACTTTGCAGGGATGGGAATCACATTTGCTTTTCTGTAGTGCCAGTCCCTTTAGGGTCTTTTGTGTGCACTGGAGTTACACTGGCAACCTGTTGCCCAGCAGTTCTTCAGTTTCAGGTTTGGAACTGTCCTGTAAATGTCTGGTCTAAGTGAACTACATCTAACTTGTCTGTTCAGCCTAATGCCTCCTCTGTACTTAAAATTGACCTAGTCCCTCTGACTATACTATAAAGATAGGTGTGAATGTCTCTCCAATTGCTTCACCAGTAAAGACTGGATACAGAGTGTTCAGTGAGCTTCTCTGTATCCCTTTTTCCTTCTGTCATCCAGGTATCCCTTTTTCACTTTGGTTGGCAAGAGATCCCACTGTTTTTTCTAGTTGGTTTCCTGCTTTTCATGTATTTAAGTAACTTGCAAGGTGCTACCCAAACTTTTTTAGTTCTTTATTTACTCTTTACTTTTGACCTACCATGTGTTTTATAATCTCTTCTGTTCTCATTAGGCAAGCTTTCTGTTTTTAAAAGCTGACCTCTCTCCTATGCCCTCCTTAACTTCCCTATGCAGTCATGCAGGGTGTAGGCTTTTGTTGCTGAGGTTGAGGTATTCTTTTGACTGCTTTTGTTTTCTCTTCTAACTGTGGTGAATGTTTTACCTGGTCTTTTAATACAGAATTTTGTCTGCTTTTGGGTTTTTTTTGTGGGGCATGGTGGTTTTGCTTTTAACAGACTCCAAGCTGTTGCACTTTTTTTGCTGTTTGGATTTCTTCTTTTAGGGTTGTGTGTGTTGCAATTGGTTGTTTTTTGGGTTTTTTTTGAGGGGGAATGGGTTGGGAGGATTACTAATTACTTCAATTTTTTTTACACTGTTCCCTTACTTGAATTTCATTATCCATGTGCCAAATACTTTTATGGCCTGCTGTATTCAACTACAATGTTGAAATATAATTGCATTACAGGCGCAGTTACAGAGCAGCTTTCCTATCAGTATCCTTTAACTAGGTCTTGTGTACCACTCAAAGCCAAACCAAAAATGGCATCTTTTCATGTAGGTCCCAGCACTAATTTCCAAGGAAGCAGTCATTACTTGGGGGCGGGGGGGAATTCTCTACATGTCATTCTGATGAGGCACAGGGTCTACTTTATATCAGGAGATTTCAGTTGCCCACTGTTACTATCTTTCCTAAACTTGCAACTTTATAATCTCCCTGAACTGGTAGTGCAGTTGATGATACATCTTTATTACTTGATTATGCGACTTCTACCGTGACTTCATTGGGTCTCTCTTCTCCTGTAATATTTTATGCCATTAAATGTTTATATGTCCTCACATACAGTGCCATTCCCCACCTGCCTGTTGTTTGTCATTCCTGTTGGAACTGCTGAGTAAGCAAGCTGGTAGCCTCTCAGCGTTACACTGGATTGATTTTTCCTCCTTCCACCAAGTCCTGGAGATGCTTTTTACTCCGAGGGTGTCAGGTGAAGCCAAGCATTTGGGTTTCCCATGTGTTACTTCTGAAATTTCTAGCAGAAGTGTAGAAGTGTTTGTAAGTTCCAAAACTCATTAGCATACCAGTCTCGCTGACTGTGGCATGACTAATGTGTGTGCCTAACAAGTTCTTCCTGTTCCCATCATGCCTAAATCCTTTCCCTCTGTATCATTGACTTCCTGTCTCAGCCTCCCTCTCAGGCCTCGCACGTGGTCTGGCAGCATTTCAGAAAATAACACCATGAAAATCCTGAATGTAAGTCTTCTGCTCAGTGACCTGAGCTTACTCTCCAGAGCATCCACCCTGTGTTTCCATACACTGCCGTTACTATTGTGGATCCTGCGGACTACTGTTTTCTTTGCTGAATCACCAAGTAGCCAATGTAGATGCCTTGTGAGGTTGCTCCCTTTGCATCTGATGGGCAGTGTGCCAGCTGATTGTCAGATGCCACAAATACAGCTAGCTGTGTGTCTAGTAAAGTTGTCTGATACCCCCGCCTGCTTCTTCCTAGTCTTTAAGTCTGTCTGCTACAAGGAGGATCCCTAGTTCAACAGGACCCAGTAATATCAACTGGAGGTTGGATTGCTTCTAAGAGATTAGCTCTGACCCGACTTACAACCACATGAATGCTTGAGATGGCAAAAGACATGATGAAGCATGGAACAGAAAACAAGTAGGCAACATGGGAGTGCCTTTTTCAGGGGCATTGCTAGTTATCGATTATAGAACTGCAGTGAGGTTCATACGAGGCAGTGTTTTGTGGTTGGTTTGTTTTCATATTTTTTTAAACTTTTTAGATTTGTTCCCTTGTAATGAAAGCATAACCCTAAATTTGTCAGTCTTCAAATATAAAAAGCGCATTTTTTTTAAGCAAAATTGCTGTATTGTAGACAGCATCTCTGTATCTGAGTGAACTTGTGTTTGATAAGAGACAGTGAAAGAACTGATGTCCCAAATGAGGATCCACTTAGCCCTGTATGTTGTCTCCTAGGGATGGC